GCAGCTCTTAAATGACCTCCAAGGTCCCTTCCAACATTGTTGTCGTTGAAGGCAAACAATGGGTATTCTAAACCAAAATACAAGCGTATGTCAAAAAAGATGGCAGGAAACAGGACCATGGAGAGCTCCCCGTGCCACAATGGTTCAAATGTTCCTCCATTAGGGAAAACTGTAAAAAGACCTACACCAGTTAGCTCAGTGGTTCTCAACCTTTTTAATGCCGCAATCCCCAACCGGTCGTAAGTCGAAGACTACTCAATCGGTCGTAAGTCGAGGACTATTCAACTGGTGCAGCACCATTTGCAGAATGGGCCTTTTGGTGGGCTCAGCAGGGCAGAGACAGCCTGGACAATTCCTATTGGCTTATGAAAGCCAATAGAATTAGAGTCTATTCAAGAGAGTCTATTCTATTGGCTTTCAAAAGCCAATAGAATAAAAGGGAGTAGCACAGCTAAGGAAAAGGGGGAAAAAAATGGCAGACTACGTTGTTTGGCAACTCCCGTGAAATGGTCGTTCGACCCCAAATGGGGTCCCGGCCCACAGGCTGAGAACCACTGAGTTAGCCAATATATACAATGTAATGGGGTAAGCCAGAGGTCCCCAATCTTGTGGGCACCAGGGACCAGTTCCATGGAGAGAGGTTTTCCACGGACAGGAGGGTGCATGGTTTAGGGTGCTGCCTGCATCTCGTGGATGGGGCTTTGCTTGTTTGTGCGGACCGGCTGCTGGTGTGCCACCGCCTGGTACTTGTCCCCGGACCAGGGGTTGGGGCCCTTGGTGTAAGCTATTTGCTTCATTGAGTTAAAGAACCATTATTGGATTTTATCGGCTCTGATTCCAATGTTTGGAAAAATAGTGAATCTAGCAGGACCTCTAAAACAGAACGGAGATCATGTGATCACCAATCTAAGTTGGTCCTTGTTGAGCTCATGTTTGTTTTCTCTCTTCCTTTCTAGCTAAGCCACGGTTTAATGGGCAAGAGCTTTTACCTGTTCTTATTCGGCGTTACAAAGTAGTCCTTGACTTACAACCATTCATTTAGTGACTGTCTGACATTACAACAGCACTGAAGGAAGTGACTTAGGACCGGTTTTCACACTTACAACCATGGACGCTTGGCAACTGGGATGTATTTAGGACAGTCCTGGGATCATTTGATCACCATTTGTAACCTCCCCAGCTGTCTTCTGACAAGCGAAGTCAATGGGGGAAGCCTGACTCACTTAAAAAATACAGTGATTCGCTTAACAACGGTGGCAAAAAAGGTTGTAAAACGAGGCACCACTTACAACTTTGCTTAGCAATAGAAAGCGTGGCTCAGTTGTGATCAGAAGTTGTGAGGGCTGCCTATCCTCTGGAAACACCCATTTCTTCTCTCTCAGGCCCAGAGAATCCTGTCACAGCACAACGAATATCTCAATGCCAGAGAGGAAGGCTTTGGGAGAAAGGAGTTGTTTTTGAATAACACACCCCAACAAAATGCCCGTGGAAGAGTAATTGCCTTGCATTCCTGATTTGCCGTGCCCTCGACTGAAACCTGCCCTCCCCAATTGAGCTTTCGCTGATCAATATAATGAGGGCAGTCAGTTTCCAGACGCAGGTATTACCCGCCCGATGTTTTCATTATCTGAGATTTTCCTACAAGAAACCCGCAAGGTGCTACTGGCTGCACAGGGCAAGCTCCTTCTCGTTCCGGCTGCGTCTGAGGGCATGGCAGATGGAAGAGAAGCTGCTGAGAAGAGATGCTATTTATCACCCTGACAGAATGTGGCTAGCATCAATCCTTTCGCCACAGGGGAAAAGTCAGGGTGGCAAAAGCCAAGAAGAAGGAAGGAATCAAAAAAAAAAAAATCTAGATTTTGTGTAATTGGGCAACCTCGATGCTCTTTGTAAATTAACGACATTATTCGCCTTTGGACATTAAAATACTTTGCTGCAGATTTGTCTTCGAAAATAACCTTCACGTGCTTTAAGCAGGAGGGAAGCAAAACAAGAACTTTCTGCACAGCTATAATTGGGCTCAGGTAATCCTTGACTTATGACCAGTTGCTTAGCAACCACTCCAAAGTTGTGACGGACCTAATCTTGGGGCTACTTACAACCCAGATTCAAAGTTCTGACAATCACCTCCTCCCCCAGTCATGTGACTGAACAGCCAGCACTGGGAAATACAGTCACACCTATGACTGTTTGCAGTGACCCGCATTCATGAGGATTTTTTAGCCAAAAACAATTGACTTCCAGTTTTTAGCAAAAAAAACCAACCAAACAAACATACCCATAGTAAACCACCAGTTCATTTAATGACTTCAGCATTCACTTAACAACTGTAGTGATTGGCTTAACGACCGCTACAAAGAAGGTCATACAATTGGGTCAGTCATACAACAATCGTATGACCGTCACGGCTTAGTGACTGTAATGGGCAGTCTCCTTTAGAGTCATAAGCTGAGGACCTGTTATAGGAGTGTTCTGTATCTCTGCCTCTGTGAGAGAAGCGGAGGGAGAAAGGGAACAAGAGATGGGATGAGTGACATCTTCTAACAGCCCTGTGAAGGTGCTTTACAAAAATCAACGCTGCTCTTTTCTAGATGTGTTTACAAGGGTGTTTAAAGATTAATCGTTGACATGCAAACACTGGCCGTGGTTTTGTTTGTTTTGTTTTTTTCATTTGTTTGGGGGAAACCTTAATGTTAACTATGATGTCTCCCACAGTGAAGTGTCGAAGCTTTGAAGGTGAAGACAGCATGGCAAAGAAACATGCTTTATTCCGCTTCCTATTTCATCTGCATGCCAAGGGAAAAAAAACTTGCCTTGGCAGAACTGCTGAATGTCAGGCTATGGTTGATGGCTCAGTCTAGAGTTGTGCGGTCTCCGCTGTTGTTTGTTTTAGTATTGCAAGGGTTGCAGCGAGAGGGACAAAATGCGTATTATCTGCATCTTGAAATACTGTATGTGTGGACGTCTCAATATGTGATTAGAGTTGTGGAGCAGGATTCATAACCAGCCATCATAAGTTATCATTATTTCCCTTGGCCTTCCTCATCTGCTTTTGACAGCGGACAGCCAGGCATGGAATAATTCAAAACAGCATGTATTTCTCTATCTGTCTGTCTGTCTGTCTGTCTGTCTGTCTCTTCCTTCCTTCCTTCCTTCCTTCCTTCCTTCCTTCCTTCCTTCCTTCCTTTTCGTTTCCTTTCTCCTTTCTTCCTGCCATCCTTTCCTTCCTCCCTCCCTCCCTCCCTCCCTCCCTTCCATTCCTCCTCTTCCTCAGCTTACAACCATTTCTTTAGTGACCATTCAAAGTTACAACAGCACTGAAAAAAGTTACCTATATCCGGTCCTCATACTTACAAGTGCCACAACTTTCCTACAGTCTCATGAACAAAATCCAGGCATTCAGTGATCAGTTTTTTCTTAAAAACCTCCAGTGATGAAGCACCCACAATGTCCGAAGGCCAGCTGTTCCACTAGTTAATTGTCCTCACCGTTAGAAAGTTTCTCTTTAATTCCAGGTTGCTTCTCTCCTTGATTGGTTTCCATCCATTGTTCTTTGTCTTGCCGTCTGATGCTTTGGAAAATAAGATGACCTCCTCTTCTTTGTGGCAGCCCTTCAAATATTGCAATACTGCTATCATGTCACCCTATAGTCCTTCTTTTCTCCAGACTAGCCATACCCAATTCCTGCAACCGTTCTTGGTCTACCATTAGACCAAAAGCACCAAAAGGCAAGACAAGAAACCATGGTTGGAAACTAACCAAGGAGAGAAGCAACCTAGACCTAAGGAGAAATTTCCTAACAGTGAGAGCAATCAACCAATGGAACAGCTTGCCTTCAGAAGCGGTGGGTGCTCCATCACTGGAGGCTTTCAAAAAGAGCCTGGACAACCATTTGTCTGAAATGATACAGGGTCTCCTGCTAGAGCAGGGGATTGAACTAGAAGACTTCTCAATTCCCTTCCAACTTGATTATTCTATGTTTTATGTTCTAACTGAAAGATGATAACCAGGCATGAGTAGAAAGCACAGAGCATCTGATGGCCGACCCTATACTTCCAAAGGGATCATTAATGCACAGCAGAGGACCCCGCCCCACTGCTAAACAAGCAAGCAAGTAAGAAGATTGTGCTGCTTTCCACTTCATATATCGAAGTTAGCTAAGCCAGCTTTGATACATGAAATGGGAAGCATCACGATTTTCTTCCCTGTGCAAGTAGCAATGTTCGGTGAATTGGTCCTGCTGACTGCGTTGCTGCCCTCCTCCACCACCTCAAACACCACCTCAAACTCCAAATCACAGAAAAGGTCTACCACCGTGTTTCTCAACCTTGACCATTTTAAGGCATGTGGGCTTCAACTCCCAGAATTCCACAGCCAGCAATGCTGACTGTGGAATTCTGGGAGTTGAAGTCCACATGCCTTAAAATGGTCAAGGTTGAGAAACACTGGACTACCAAGATAGACAACCCTTTGCAATCTATACTGCCCAGCTTCTTATGCTCTTTATCACATTGCACTCCTGAAGCCAAACACCATTAACGTTCCCCGTGAGTAGGAAGCCACCCTTCTTCTTCTTCTCCTCATGATCCCTTCTGAGTTCGGAAGAAAACAAAGGAGAGATATTTTTGTCCCCCTTCCCCCTGGATACCAGGTTCTTGAAAGAGGACCCTTAGCCGTCCTTCCACAGCTCTGAGATCAACCTTTCCCCATATCATATGACCAAGCATCTAATGGCACTTTCCCTTTAAGGAAATTACGATTAATGAAGAACTAAATTGCAAATCCATTAGGTTTTAGTCAGCTCAGCAACGCCACGTGGGGTGAGGGGTGGGGGGGGCGGGTTGGAGAGAGGTTTCATGAATGCTTAAGAAATCCAATAATGTAACCTCTGGTAAAGCTTGAAAAAGCCCTGAAGGACAAGGCAGTTAGATCAATATTAGTTTATTTCAACTGCTGCACAGTACGAAGCAGGGAGCGAAGCATCCAAAGGATTTTATTACCTGTTGGAGAGATAAGCCCTGGCGATAAGAGGCCCGGCACTCCGTGGGGAAGCAGGCGCGTGTTCTCTTGTATCGCAACCCCCAGAGAGCGCTTGGGGGGTCTCCCTGGTCGTGAACTGTTGAAACAAAAGTGAAAATAAACTTTAAGTGCTCTTTTGTCAAAAGGATTTGCATCAGAAATGTACTTTACATCGATTTTTTTTTTTTTTTTTTTGATGCCCTGACCAGCCGGGTCCTTGGTGACTGAATTTTAACTCTTTCTGAACACCAAAGTGACCAGCCCATCCTCCATTACAAGTTGTTGTTGTTGTTAGTTGCGACGTCATGTCCGACCCATCGCAACCCCATGGACAACGTTCCTCCAGGCCTTCCTGTCCTCTACCATCTTCTGGAGTCCATTTAAGTTCACACCTACTGCTTCAGTGACTCCATCCAGCCATCTTATTCTCTGTCGTCCCCTTCTTCTATTGCCTTCCATCTTTCGCAGCATTAGGCTCTTCTCCAGTGAGTCCTTCCTTCTCATTCGGTGGCCAAAGTATTTGAGTTTCAACTTCAGGATCTGGCCTTCTAAAGAGCAATCAGGGTTGATCTCCTCTAGGACTGACCGGTTCGATTGCCTTGCAGTCCAGGAGACTTCTATATAGACATCTACTATTGATTTACCTTGCTTAGTATCAGAAGCAGCAATCTGCAAGTTACCGTGGCATTCTTAAGGTTTTGTTAATGTAGGAGAGAACCAGGCTGAGCCCGAGGGAGGAGGCAAGAGCGTCATTAGTTTGGCAACCCTTTGCACCCACGAGAGATCTAAATCCCATCTATCTTGAATTCCATTGACTCTTATCTACCACCAATTTGTCCTGACCATTGGTAGTTCAGATTCTTCTTTCGGGATAGCACGGAATAAACTTGTACTCATTTGAACAACCCCGAGTTCTGGGGCCTGACAGTTAAAGGGCGTGAAGAAAAATGTACAGGACATTCCCGCTGAGCAAATAGAAGAATCAATTATTTCCCTGCTCCTGATGGTTTGAGGCTACTTTTCTGCTCAGGGGTTCCTGATGGGGTAGCTTACTTTTTATTTATTTGTTTTTTACATTTATATGCTGCCCATCTCACTCTGGAAAGTATCTCTGGGAAGCTTACAAGTAAAATCACAAGTATAAAAAAATATTAACAACATTAGATACAGAACTAGAAAACCAAAGGCAGGATTATTTTGAGTCTTCTGACAACCTGTGAGGGGGGCAGTCAACCCCTCTTTACTCTGGAGAGTCCTACGCAATACAAAACAGCATAGTGTGATATAAAATTTGTTGCACAGATCAATACCTTTCACCTCACCTTGGTTTCCAGCCAGAAGAGACCTGATCTTATGCAAGGCCTCAAATCAATTGTTTTTCACTTTTACGCAAGTCCACATTCAAACATGTTCCCCAATGAATAAGAGCCTCACTGGATAGAATTTGCAGTGGTCATCCCAACTCTGGAGAATTGTGCCTCCCCAAAATGAATATTATTTTGATGCTCACCTTCTACAAGGTTACTTTACAAACACCCAAGCCATTCATAATGTTAGATTTTTTTTAAAGCTTTTAATTAAAATTTGCTTCCTGCAACTTAAATCCATTATGCCATGTTCAGTAATCTTGGATACGAAGGAACAGACCCTGTGTCCTTCCTTCCTTCCTTCTTCCCTCCCTCCCTCTTCTCTTTCCTTCTACCCCCTCCTTCCTTCTTTCCTTCCTTCCTTCCTCCCTCCCTCCCTCTCCTTCTTTCCTCCTTCCTTCCTTCCTCTCCTCCCTCCTTCCTTCTTTCCTCTCCTCCCCTCTCCTTCCCTCCTTCCTTCCTTCCTTCCTTCCTTCCTCCCTCCTCTCCTTCCTTCTACCCTCTCCTTCCTTCCTTCCTTCCTCCCTCTCCTTCCTTCCTTCCTCTCCTCCCTTCTTCCTTCCTTCCTTCCTTCTTCCCTCTCCTTCCTTCCTTCCTTCCTTGAAGAAGGCAATGGGAAAGAACTTTTGTATTCTTCTCAAGATAGCAGTACCAATAGCACTTAGACTTCAGAGTTGTTTCTACATCATCACCAGGAGCTAAACTTTACTTCAAGTAGTCCTCGATTTAGAACCATTCGTTTAGTGACTGTTCAGAGTTACAACAGCACTGAAAAGAGTGATGCGTGACCACTGCAGCCTCCTCATAGCCCCCTGGTCAAAATTCAGACACTTGGCAACCGGCATGTATTTATGACAGTTGCAGTGCCCTGGGGTCATTTTGCACTTTGCAAGCAAAGTCAGCGGGGAAGCCAGATTCACTTAACAACCACACTACTATCCTAACAACTGAGTGATCCACCTAACAACGGTGGCAAAAAAGGTTGTAAAATGGAGCAAAATTCATTTAACCACTGTCTTACTTAACAATTCTGGGTTCGATTGTGGTTACAAGTTAAGGACCACCTGTAAAGGGTATTTTTACCATTTTATATTTAATATATTAGCTAATTATCAGAACATCTACTACAAAAAACACAGGTCTCTATATATGTGGCTGCAATGACCCACAATTGTCAAAGGAAGTAGGCCTGCTTCCAGTTGGAGAGACAAGCAAGCAACTAAATTTCATTTTTAACGTGTGTCATTGTGCCCATAGTAAAAAAAATCTATCTATCTATCTATCTATCTATCTATCTATCTATCTATCTATCTATCTATCTCTGTCCATTTATCCATCCATCCATCCATCCACCCACCCACCTACCTAAAATCCATAATTCTGTGGAGGATGAATTTTTATTATTCGTTTTCCTAGGCGGAAGTTTCAGCTCAAGGCCTCATGAGCTAATGAGGTTTTGGCTCACGGCTGCACTAAGTGAGGTTGTGTTGACTGGAAGAACATTTTCAGCACTGTCAGGTTGAAAACACAATATAAACCTCTGCATTCTCTGAAAAACACTCCAGGAAAACTTACTGGAAAACCCATCAGTTCTTCTGAGGAAACGTTATATCCTTTCTCTTTTTTGCGTCAACAACTTTGCCACAATATTTGCTCTTCCTGCTACACAACAGCGCTCGCTGACAAATTTATTTTGAGATGTGTCTATTGTGGTCGGTGTCAGTCAATTTCTAACACTTAGACGTGAAACTGGATACTCTTGGTGCATTTTCCGCTGCAGTTTTATTTATGATTGGAAATCAACAAACAGTCAGAAGAAGTGACAACTGAAGGGAGACTGAAAATCCTGATTTGCCTAAACTAGCAACTACAGCTAACCCTGCAGAGATAGCAACTACTTCTACCTCTGTGGCAGATGGAGAAAGTACCACTTAGTCCAGTGGTTCTCAACCTTTCTAATGCTGCGACCTCATAATACAGTGCCCCATGTTGTGGTGACCCCTAACCACTTATACATCACCGGGTACCAGGGGCGTGGCCAAAGAAAAGGGGGAAAAATGGCAGACAGCCTTGTTTGGCGACCCCCGTGAAATGGTCGTTCAACCCCAAATGGGGTCCCGACCCACAGGTTGAGAACCATTGACTTAGTCCAACAACTCTAAATCATAGTCTGTTGACTTGATGCAGCCATCAGCAAGCACAAGATCTGAAACCCCGGCTAGGCTGCCTTTATACAAATAGTCCTCAGCTTGTGACAGAAATTGGGATCAGAATTTCTGCCACTAAAGTGACATGGTAGTAATGCATGACATCATGTGATCATATCACTTAGCTATGGTAATTCCAGCAGGCTCCAGGTTGCCTTCTTTAAAGCAAGAACTATGCCATCATTAAATAAGGAGCTCCGGTGATTGAGACTTCTGATTTCTGCCAGCTTCCCCATTGATTCTGCTTGTGGAATGTCACCGTGGCTTGCTGAAAAGTCATAGTCATGTGCCAGTTGCCCAGTGCCCCAAGCACAATCACGTGACTATGGGATGCTGTGATACCTAAACTAAAAAAGACTAAGAACTAAAAGAACCCCTATAAGTATGTACCATTTGTACTGCCCCATCCTAACTTGGAACAGCTGTGGAATAAATAAACCCAAAACTACCTGAATAAAGAAGCTCAAAATACAGTTCAGTACTATAACTGCACAAACTGAGATTTGGCATGTAAAAAAAATTGAGCAATGACACAAAGATCTTCCATACACAAGGCAAAAATGAACGGCGTTTTGACCATGGCAACATTTAGATGCAACTTGTATCCGGACCCCAACCTCCCTCGCTATGGGTGCACTCCCAAATTTACTAGAATCAGATGTGAATTTGCATACTAATCAAGACAAATAAACATGTGGTGATTTAACTAGGAAACAGTCTGATGACAATTTAATCGGTACAGGTTACAAGGTCCATCTCAACCGCATCCTGTTGCAGTGAAAATATTGATTGTGTTACTGATTTGAGGACCGCCTTATTTTGCTGGGCACAAATAACCATTTAATTGCTTTTTAATTGAATGGTGATTGCTCATGAGCAAATTATTAAGAGGGTTTTTTTTTGCTTAATTACTCGATTACTTATGCTCAGCCAATATTATTTTTATTGGAAATAGGGAGATAATAAACTCACCTCCAAAGCAAAGCAAACATATAGATCATTTTCCAGCAACACAAAAGACCAGTGTTGTTTTGTGTTTCTTTGTTCACAATCCATATCTTCCTGTGATGCTATTAGACTAGCTGATCCAATATCTGCAGGTTTGTCTGGCTAATTTTTAGGTATGGACACCACAAAAACATTAGCTTAACATATCAGGATGTGCTAAACTTCCAAGTCAAGGCATGAGACTAAAGGAGCAAAATATCAACCCACGTGTCATGATGCTATTACGCAAAATATATATGTGCATCGTTTATACTGAGTATCAGGTTTCAGGCACTAGCTGGCAGGCTTTGTCCTACTGGGGACCTGTGTAAAATTTCTGATGCATCAAATGTTGTTCACGCCACAGCTCCATCAATGGACTTACATTTCAAGAATCATTACAGGCTTGTAAACACTGTTTCTTGGTTCATACCTCATGATAAGATATCATTTTGGGTAGGCTAGCTTTGCATGCTTTGAATAAAGCTATCATGGCTTGTCAACTAATAATTACAATGTCTAAACCCAGCCAACCG